TGCATGCTATATGGGGTCGCGAGAAGGAGGTCCGTATGTATGTACGTATGTTGAACTTCTTTGCACCGTACGGAGCCAACCGTGCTATTCGGAGGTGCGTGAGAGGGCACCATCCATGTACCAATGAATATTGCATTGACATGGTGGCTTTTGGATCGGCTATATAAGCCACTTTTGTAAGGTAGAGAGGTTGCGTCATTGCTAAAAGATGGGGCATTTTGAGGAAGAAGTGATGTTTGTGGTGCTGTACCAGTCAGAGAGCCGTACCAGTCGCACGAGTAAGACATTGTCGGGGGGCTTTCAACTTTGTAACTAAAGGAAGGAATGGTGAGGGAGTGGTGACATCGGTGGTGATGACAGTGATGGCCTCATGAGTGTTACGATGTCATTGCAGCTATGCGTCTTTAATGCCGGTTGAATTTTCAATAACACTTTACCAAGAATCGTGTTTTCACTTACATAGGACCCCACGCATCACGACTTCTGCCACTACAGCATACATTTTTTTCCCCAAGGGTAAACCCAGTGAAGATTAATTCTAGATTCGAAGCTTTCGTGACTGCAAGGATTCATACTCTTTTGTTTTTTTTTTCGGTAAAGTCACGTAGGTAAAACAATCAATAAAATAAAATAAATGAAAACAACTAAATAAAATCACGACGTTTCGGAGGCAACACAAGCTTCCTTCCTGATGAAGGAAGCTCACGTTGCCTCCGAAACGTCGTGATTTAATTTAGTTGTTTCCAGTGAAAATTGTTTGTGCGCGTGTGTTGTCTTCGTTCATGGCTGGCTTTAGTGGCAAGGCATGCCAGCCAACTCCGGGCAGCCAGCAAAATTCAATGGCAACTGACCCACGCGTTTGGAAGTTGGAGGTGTTGGGCGGGGGGGTGCTAACGACTCCCGGTGGTTGTGGCCGAGGCTACGGAGAGGATCCCAGAGGGTTCGCCGTGCACTTCATTACGGACAAACGGAGAGAGAGACGGAGATCCTCCTGTGCCATTTCAAATATACGAAGTCGACTCGACTGCTGTGGCTACTCGCTCGGTACTTGGCCTCCTGTTTCTGTGCCCCTGGGTATTATTTGCAGGCGCCATCGTCAGCATTCATGTCACCGATGTTGACGAGAAGAAGGAAAAGGCAAAAAACCGCGGAATAAATAAATAAAAACGTGAGATTTGTCCGCATTGGAATGCACGGATGAAACGCACCTCACAAATGTAAATTATTATTGTCTGATTGTGTTGTGTTGGGTGATGAGGGTGTCCAGACACTCACGACGCCCTATACGAAACTATTCTTCTTTTTTACCAGGTAAGGTCCACTGAGCTATAAAGTTATTTTTCAGAAGCGACTTGGCCACAAATGATAGCTCAACGAAGTCGATTATCATCACGTGGAAATTTATAGCATTAAAAAAAAAACCCGGAGCACTCGGACAATAATCCACGCGTCTCGGAGGTGCTCTAACCCTGGCTAACCAGGAGATGGCGGTACAGCATAAATGCGCGGATTCCACCTGTTCCATCTGCATGGGAGAGTTTCCGCCTCGCACACGTGACTTTTCCCCGGGTGTTCTGCTTTGGCCGATTATAACACCTCGACGTACAGAGGCCCGCAGAGCTCGGGCAATTGCTGGCGTCGGCTTCCCGCCTGGCTGCTGCTGCTGGGTCCCACCTCCCGGCACCTCCGAGTCGTCCTCTCTCTTTGCGAGAGCGAGGAGCGAGGTTACGAATTTAAATTCTTATAATCATCATCATAATTAGAAGATTATTTTTCATCATTTTCGTCCCGTCGTGTGTGTCTGCGTGAGATTCCACCGGCGTGGTCGTTCCACGCGCAGCGACAGCAGCAGCAGCAGGGTGACCCCGAGGGTGGCGCGTTCATGCTTTTGGAGTTATTTTTATGAAAGCCACTGAACCTTGGACCCTGCTGCGGGTTGAGAGTTGCTGGGGACAGGGCTGAATGCGAAACTGCTGCCTGCGCTGCGACCACGTTGAAGGTGCGTTAAGTCTGACAGTCTACGAGGAACGATCCGTGCTTATCCTTGGAAGTTGTTACGGCAATTAGCTCCGATTTACGTCTCCCCCCTTTTACGGCGGTTTGCAAACTCGTCGTCACGTTGTTGTGAACACCGCCACCCGCATCTGCGTCGCCTCAACCCCCGTCGTTTCTCGTTACCCGTCGCCTCTCAGCCTTCGTCACCACCACCACCCACCACTATCCCCGTACACATCGCTTTGCTTTTACGTGGTTTCGATATTCGTCGTCGCACCTTTCAGGAACGCATCCCCCGACGTAAACCGGGGAATGACTACTGCACCTGCGAGGGCGGCCGATCTGAGAGCTTACGTGGTGGGCGAGTCACCTTGCAACCCGACACCCAGCGTCGAAACGACGACGACTCGTCTGTTTCTGTTTACAAAGCATAAATAAAACGAACCATAGCAAGAACGAGTTTATTTAATTTGTACCTGAACATCAACGGTGTTATGTCATGAATAGAAGAACGCCCGTAGCCCACTTGTGCGCGCAAGCGGGAAGGAAAACCGATAGTTTACGATTTAAAGCTTTCGTTCAAATGTTCGCATTAAGCAAAGTCCAAAGTGCACTGCCAGGCCACGTGGTGCTCTCTCGTGTTTACTGTTTTGTGTTCCAGTTGACCGCCGCTAAGCAGATTGCGAGAACTATTGGGCAAATTCCCCTAAGTCGCCCGAGATTATCGGATTTTCTTTTTAACTGAGGGCCACTTAACTGTGCGTCCTCCTCTGTCACGTGGTCATGTTGCAGGAGCAGCTTTGACGATAATTATAATATACCCAAGAGCTGTGAGAACATTTCTCTGATTGTGTTTGTATACTGTTGTAGTCGTCGTGTTTTTTTTCCGGGTGACATCTTCCCCATCATCTAAAGACACCCCAGAGAGAGAGGAAGAGAGGGAGGGACCTCGTTATCCGAAGTGGATCGGAGTGGCAGGTGTGGCCTCTGCTATGGAACTGTTGTAACGCGTGGAGTACTGTGCGTCGTTAGGAGCTCTTTACAATCTGAAGGTAAAAATCTGGAACTGTGTTTGTGACAGGCATCGAAATGCCACGATAGGTAAAAATAAACGCGAACAGTTAATATGGGCAATTTATATAGCTCAGTTTGAGCCAATGAGACGTCTAAACGTGCAGTATAATGTCCACAACAACAGCCCAATACTGCCGCATGTATTTTAGTGGGTCGAGCGCTACGCTACAAAGCCGGCGATCAGAGTTCGAATCTTGCTCGCGGCCAATACCAGTTACGTGTTTGTCTGAACCGGTCCTAGGCCTTTCTTAGGTCGACTCAGCCTCAAATGAGTACCTGGCGGCGATGGTGGTACAGGCTAAACGGGGGATCTTTCTCTTTGTTGCTGGTGGTGTTGTTGTCACTCAACATGAATGTATTTTCTTGCTGAGAATGGTTCAACAACGGGTATCGAATTTCTCCACGGACCGTGATGATGTTATTGTGGTTTTTATCGTTTTTATTTTAACTTACGAATGAATTCTCGCTCTCTCCATGATTACCTCTATGTTGTGTAGCTAAACGGGCCCTGTGATGGATGTACAGAACTTCTCTGTACATAGTTTAATATTTACATAGTATAGTGTATTACGTTTCATGGACGGTGTTTTATATCAAGGGTTAATTCAAAGTTAAAGTGGGATTAAATAAATTGTGGTTGTTACTGTATTTGTTTTTGTTCAGGAAGCAGATGGAATATAAATGAAATACTTCTTGGCGAAAATGCTTAAACATTTTAGTAACGTTACAATGACAATAAAATCAGGAACTCGGGAGATGTACGCGTGGATATGTAAATCAACAAAAGTCTTTATAAATATCAAAATAAGAAGCTATATGTAATAAATGTGTTTTTAATATCTAGGTATCAATTCCAGATTTAAGCTTTCGTGACTGCAAGGATTCATACTCTTAGGTTTTTTCGGTAAAGTCACGTAGGTAAAAAATAATAATAAAATAATTATAAATGAAAATAACTAAATTAAATCACGACGTCTCGGAGGCAACACAAGTCTCCGTTTACTGATACAGTACATTTAGCTGTGACGGTCCCACCTGAAGACGGAGACTTGTGTTGCCTCCGAAACGTCGTGATTAAATTTAGTTATTTTCATTTCTTATTATATTATTTTATTATTATTTTCACCTACGTGACTTTACCGAAAAAAACCTAAGAGTATGTATCTAAGTATCATTGTACTGTGATGTCCTTTTCATTGAAACAGCGCCACAACTGAGTTACCATCCACACTTCTTGGGGAGGAATCCCTCCCTATACCGTGCCGGTCACTGGATGATTGTTTGACCACAATTCACCACACTTCACCGTGCTGGTCAATGGGGGTTGGTGGAGGGAGGAGGAGCCCACGGACCGGTTGAGACAGCGAACCGGCCCAGGACCGGTTCGATTGCCAATTATGATGTTAGTCGTAGCCAGGAGTCAAACTGTAGTGGCCACGTTCGTATCACGGCGTGCACATCGCTGCCATTGATGTGCTTTATTAAACTATTTCGCTGTAAACTGAATTTAAATACCAGTATAGATTTGCGATAAATGTTCATGAGTATCGCGTAAAAAATAGCATTGGTTAACAATTTCTAAATTAAACGTGGTAAAATGCGAATTGGCTTTTTTACTCTTCTTCTTTAGTGCTGCCTAACGGCGTGTGCGACTTCACGATGATATTGGTCCCGGTCTAGCACGGCGTGTAGAGTTTGTGCTGTTGTTAATTGTAGCCATGTTTTGATGTTACTGAGCCATGTCGTTAAGCAAGTACAGTAATGATGGCAGGTTAATCAGGGGTGGGGGTCTATTCACAAAAAGAACACGCATCATATATTATTATTATACCACATGTCACAGTAACGCGTCTGACAATGTTTATGGTGCAGCAGTGGGTTAGCACTGACCTTTGAACCCAACCTCGGTCTAACTCTGGGCAACAGCAAACAATCAGTGGCTGAGTCACGCCTGGTAAGGAATCAACCCACCCAGGCACACCGAATGATGACTCGTGTGGTGGTGGCGTGCGGTGAAACGAACTCACTCCTTGGCCGCGACACAGCAGCGTTGTTGGAGGCCTTCATCCAGCCACTGGGCTCATTCTCATCATAACACGAGATCAGAAAAAGAGGATCGAGGTGAGGGAGGGAGGGAGGGAGATATTAGGGAGGTGGAGGGGGGGTGAGATAGAGGAGAGAGACTGAGGATGGAGGTGCGGGAGATGGAGGACGAGACGGAGATAGGGCGGGAGAGAGTGAAAGGGCATGAAGCAGAGGAAGGGGAGAGAGAGATCAAGAGGGAAAGAGGGGAGCGGATGAAAATCGACAAGCAGTGTGGGAGAGATGATTATGGAGATGCAAGAGAGATCGAGACGGGAAAGGAAGAGGTGGGAATAAGGAGAGCGAGGGTGAGAGGTGACAGAGAGAAACAGGGTGAGAGATGGGGGGGGGGGAGATTGAGTGGAGTAGAGGAATAGAGAACCAGAGATAGAAGTGGTGACCGAGACAGAGCGACACATCGAGATAGATTCAGTCCAGCGAAGGCAAGAGAAAGGTGGAGACAGAGCTGTTTATAAGATCAAAAAGGTTTGCGGGTTTGGTGGCCAGGACGGACGGTCGCATCCCAAGTCCGTGGGTGTTGCCGGTAATTATTATTAATTACGCGCGTTTACCACGGACAGCCCTCGCTTGAGTCTCTTCACTTTTATCGGACGGAATGCTTTTCGATTTCCACTGTAGGGAGTGCGATTATTACTTCTATTTGTGGACATATTCTAAAACGGGTGTATTATCATCACCACGTAAACACGTGTTTCCTTAACAGCAAAGTCAAGAAACGAATTGAAAACGACCGACTCCTCGATCCAACACTGATAACCCAATCATTTGCTTTAAAATCCATCGACCGCTGTCACTTGGGCTCACGGCCGAGGGGGAGAGAGCGAGAGAGAGCCAGAGAGAGACGTGTTGTGGTTGAGTTTGTCGGCTCTGGGATGGTGACATCAGCACCGTCGTCTGTGATGTTGCTCACAGGGCGGGCGGCAATATCAGGACGTGGACAAGTCAGCGAGACGGCCACCACAGCCCGGGGCCCCCATCACCACCAGCCCATCAGTCATCTCGTCCCAGCAGCATGCAGGAGGAGGAGGATGACGCCAAGATCAACTCAATTGTGAGCTTTCCGCGCTTGCTGGATTGTAACCGTCTGTCTCGTTCTGTTGCCACCATTGTATGTGCGTACGTACTTACGTACGCATTTACATACGTGTGTATATACGTACGTACGGTGCGAAAGAAGTTCCAACAAACATACATAGACTCACACAGATGAGCATTTTGACTTAAAGCTTTCGTGACTGCAGGAATTAATATTCTTTGGGTCTTTCAGTGAAGCCACGTAGATAGAAAAAATAATAAAAATATGAATAATTTCAAGTTTCAAGTTCAAGTTCATTTATTAGGTATAGCCCTGTGAGCCATTCGGCTCTTGAATCATAATAACAATATCACGACGTTTCGATCGCAATACAAGCAATCTTCATCAGGTGAAAAAAAGAGGGGGAAAGCTGCCGAGGCAGGTTGTTTATAAAGATTTAGAGAACCGGCAGTAGGTCTACCCCAATCAGAGAGCTGCTTACAGAGGTTTAGAGATGCTTGTAAATGTAAGCTCGGAGAGAGCTAGGAAAGAGCCATCGCCACATGGAGGTGGGCAAGGATGGCAAGCCGCCATTTACTAACACAGCTGACGGTGGCTGTGTTAGTGAATGTAACTCAGAGAGTCGAAAGTAACTCCTAACATCACAGCCAGTTAAGACCTAAACTGGTTGATAACGTCCTTCCAATGGTTGCTCAGTTTGTACCCATCTTCTCGGTTGAAATTGTGTCTGTGTCTATATATCTGGATGGCTTCATGAACGAATCCTTGCTGATAGCCAGTGGGTTTGCAGAGTACCTTCGTCTTGGCAAAATCAATTTCGTGTGAGCCCACCGCGTTAAAATAATGATCGGCCACGGCTGAGGTATTGGTCCTACCGTGTTTCAAATCTGCCTTGTGTTCACGGACACGGTCCGAGACATGTCACTTAGTTTCCCCAATGTAACTGCTGCCGCAGACACAGTTTGGTTTGTAGACACCGGGTTATTGCATGTCAGGGATCACATCCTTCACAGATGAGATCAAATCACGAATTTTATGTACTGTGTTGAATCGTACCTGGATCTTGTGTTTGCTCATGATATTGGAATTATTTTTGGTGACCCCTGCTATGTATGGCAAGGTGATGGTTTGTATTGGGTCCTCAGATGGTTCTTTCCCAACAGTTGGGGTGAAAGCTTTACGGATTGTGTCGTCTGAATATCCATTCTTATTGAGGGCTTGGTGTACGTGTTTCAGTTCACTGGCTAGGTGATGATGGTCGGAAATACAACGAGCTCTATGGTGTAGAGTTTTGATGACGGAATTCTTCTGGGATGGATGGTGGTGGGTGTCAGGTTTTAGGTAGGCATCCGTATGAGTGGCTTTCCTGTAGACAGAGTGTCCCATTGAGCCATCAGGTCTCTTTTCGATTAAAACATCCAAGAATGGTAACTTGCCATCCTTTTCCACCTCCATGGTGAATTTGATGGCTGGGTGTATGGAATTGCTGTGGTTGAAGAATTGGTCCAGAGCTGGTAGGCCATGTGGCCAGATGACGAACATGTCATCAACGTTATCTCTTCCACAAGGAAGGACGTAGGGTGGATGCCTGGATGGCATCTGTCTCAAATTTCTCCATGTAAACATTGGCTACAACTGGATATAGGGGAGAACCCATTGGGGTACCTTCAACTTGTTTGTAGAATGTTCCATTACAGGTGAAGTCAGTGTTGGTGAGGCACTTGCCTTAGCAGCTTTCCCCCTATTTTTTCACCTGATGACGATTGCTTGTGTTGCTATCGAAACATCGTGATATTGTTATTATTTGTATTATTTTTTTCTATCTACGTGGCTTTACCGTAAGACCCAAAGAATAAGATAAGCATTTCTTTCGAAGTTTTTGTGTGTTTAGTTTGTTGCCCTTCCCCCACTCCTGACGAGCGCGGTTGGCTACGTAGATGCAGAAGAAGTTCAACATCCATACAGACGTAGATAATTTGAACAAGAACTCTGCTTTGCGTGACGTAAACATTCCCCGGTTGGGTGACGATTCCAAAGTTCAGCGTAGATTATCTGCAGAAACGAATGACTGCTCCTGCGCCTGAAAACAAGACCTTCATGAATGTGGCGTTAGATTACGAGAGGGCCCCACCTTGGCAAGTGTCTATGGGTGTGCCTCTGCTACAAGTTAATTGCTTCACCTCATATGACTCCTCCTCCTCTTGGAGCCATATGGGGTGAAGTAATTTACACGGTTGTGAGCACACTTACTCTATAAGCCCGGCTGCCCGACTTAAATTCGTGGCCACACAGCTAGCGTCAGTGTTCATTCATAGTAACGTGTTTTGGGTTTAGATTGCGTAAATGTGCCGTTAAACCCGCCACCACACGACACAGCCAATCAGTAAGGTTTGTCACGTGAACAAAACATGGAAATTGGTTACTAGTTCAGCACACCGGTGTGTTGGAGAGAAAAACCCACAACATTTACAATTTGAGTACGACGTTTCGCTGGTGATTACAACCAGCTTCATCAGGCCATTGACATAATCGTGAAGAAGTCTTCCTGTTTCCGGTCTTATACTCCCCCATAAAAGTTATTATCAATAACATAAGTCGCAAAAGCCTCGTGTGTTAAATCAGTGTTCACTGATATCTTTTGCCAAACCTGCATTGACCGGAGTGGTGAGGTATGACCAAACAACCCCCTATGACTGCTATGGCATGGGCAGGCCTTTATCCAGCAATAGCTGTACTTTTTAATCTCGAAAGCTAAGCAGCGTTCAGCCTGGATAGTACGTGGACAGGTGACAACTTTGCACGAACATTTTGCCACGGGGTTTGCGCAGCACAATCTGGTTGCTCCCCGACTTCACCAACCGCACCGACTAGCGCGGTGAACCACGGCGCCGTCAAATAGCGCTCGCGGCTCGCACGGGCACGGGGGTGGCCCTCTTTCAGCAGTGGATTGACGTCAAGGGCTGTGCCGTACACGGGCGTACAGACGGAGACAACCGAGGGTCTGTCTTCGTCGTCGGTTGTCGTCTTGTCTGTCGGCGTGCGTGTCTCTGTGTGTCTTTGTGTGTGAATCGTTAACGAGTGACGATTGTCTGAACTGGTCCTGCGCCCCCCCTTTGGTCGACTCAGCCTCAAATGAGTGCCTGGTGCGATGTGTAAAACATCGCCACTCAGGAGACAAAGGTGGCCGGGCATGGCGTTGGCCACCCACCCCCCTTCGTGTGCCGTGCCGGCCTTCCAGCACCACTTGCCCCAACACTCTGTTAAGGCTACACGGGGGGATCTTTGTCTTTGTGTGCGTGCGAAAGATGAGCAGCGCTCTGGTGCAGCGCAGCACCGGTGACACGGGCGTGCTGGTCTACACACACGCCGTGATCAAGCACAGGCCCCGGCCCACGGGCGAGACGCCCTTCAAGGTGCCGCCCCGCGCCGCCCCCGTGAGTCTTGCCAGCGTCACGGCCCGCACCGCACGGCCCGCCACGCACACCGCATACCACGTTCATGGTGCCACGCTCATCGCACCAAGGTCACTGCACCACGCTCATCGCGCCAAGCTCACCACACCACGCTAACTTGCACCGTGCCACGCTCACCGCTCCACGCTCAGCATGCCAAGCTCACCATACCATGCTCACCGCACCACGCTCATCGCTCCACGCTCACCGCGCCACGCTCATCGTTTCGCACGCCGCTTTGGCTCGGCACTAATTTCACAGCTGCGGCCTAAGACAAGTTAACCGACTCGGAGACCCGAACCCTGGGGTTCTCCGCTTGGATTATAAAGTGAGCAGGTTAATCGTGAGAGGGCTTAAGGAGACTTACCCACGACTTACCGTCATATTTTAACCGTGAGTGGCACATTTCTGATGCGACTACAGTGAGGATGAGGATTTGCATTTATCGAGTGCTCAAATACTGAAAAGGCATCTCGAAGTGCGTTACAATGTAACCGAGAAACCATTGCGCAAACGAAACCGCAAAAGAATTCACGCACACGCACAACTGGCATATCTGTCAACCCATACAGTTTTACCCCGTATTCTTGTCCAGGGAAATTGAGTTTTTCAGGTCCATACAGCGTACAGCCGTTTCAATACGGGCAAAACATTTTTGTTTTTTTGTTTGTGGTTCCCCCTTGTGATGGGACTTTGTAGGATGAACGTTTATAAGGGCACGGGGTGACCAATAAGGTCTGAATTGGTCTGTAATAATGTAGCGGCACTGATAAGGAGTTGACAGGTGTGAACTGGGTCTAGCAGCAGTGAAGTCCACAGCACTCGTGAAGTAGTACCATGGACAAAATAAATAATGCAGGAATAAGATGGGCGCTCAACAGGCCAGCCACCATCCCTCTGCACCGTCACTCAGCATCCTGCACGTTGTCGCAGGCGGGGCCCGCAGGAGCGTCTTGTCACCGCCGCCGTGTGCCTCAGAGTTCCTACGCTGCCACATCTCTCAGTGTTGCCAGCTGAGCTACGATGATGTTGATGTTGCTAGCCCTGGTAACTTTCTTGGTTTTCCCCGGTGACAACATTTTGTCATAGCTACTCGTGACAAATCTGGCGACCTTCTGGGATGAGTATATTATGCATATTTCGTAGTGATTCCAAATGTGTGTTGAGTATCAGGTTAAAGTGTGCATAATACTGGGCAAATTGTCCAGTGGCATTTTTTATAGCAACGTCTCGCGACTTTTTGAGGTTTGTCATGTGACTCCGCTTCAAGAAGTTTGCAACGCCGCTCTCAGACACGGGATAGGGGGATTTCCATGTTGCGATGTTGCGTCTCAGGCAGATCCCAGGATCGTCTAACGTTATGTCTCAGGCAGGCTTCAGGAGCCCAGGAAGGCCCCGAGAGAGTCGTCACGCTCGCCACGTCGTCCCTCAGACCACAGAAGTCTGCACAGCGATGCAATGCAAAGTCTCCGGCAAATCCTGGTTGAAAGCCCAGAGAAATGGCATAGGGGAAGAAGCGGGGCTGTGAGATTCAGACGAGAACATGCCCTGATGCAAGGGAGACAGATCATTAAATTAAGATCATATTTAATAAGTATGACATCACCATAACATTTAAGGTAAGGGAAATTATAGGGCAGGGAGGAAATGCATTTTAACCGCACATATACTGTGGCGTCGAACGGAGAAAATCAATTGGATCGAGAGAGTGATGAGCAATCCAGGCTCAGGTGGAGAGGATTAAACTTATAAGAATCCAGAGAAGGAAAAATGTGTGGCTTGGGAACATTGTCATGAGGGAAAGCTGAATAGAGGAACTGTGGGGAGTGAATGCTGTTGACAAAAAGGCCAAGAAATACATCGGTGCTGCTTAACGGCTTCAAGGAAGGGAAGGGGTCCATACCGTAAAATATCCTTCCCCCGCACCTCCGATGGGCACGGTTGGCTATGTACGGTGCGAAAGAAGTTCAACGTGCATACGTAAAGGTTGTCAACTGCTCGCAATACCGGACAAGGTCCACTGAGCTATACAGCTTTTTTTTAGAAGCAACCTGGCCACATATGACAGCTCAACGAAGTGGCTTATCACTGTACAGGCCATCTACTACCTGAATAAATATCCATCTCTCTATATTATAGTTTACCTCCCAATACTTACGGTGCGGATGACGTTCAACGTACGTACGTACGAAAGGAAGAAGAAAGCACAAGATCGGACAGGATGGAGAGAGTTGGAGCCAATCAACTGAACATGGGACAGAATACTATATCAGGCGACCTGAGGCAAATGAAAATTGGCAGGCAGGAGGAGCAGAGAGCACGTGGCAGCCAACTCGCTCAGTGTCGACGTGGTTGTGCCTCCAGTGCGGTGCTGTACCAGGTAAATGGGTGGCGTTAATTCCATCACAATAATGCAATTTTAGGTGACAAATGCATGCTGAGCATCACAAGGCCCCAGATTTGAATCTATTAATACATGTGATCGATAGCACTAAATCGTGTTGTATTTCAGTACACTAACTGCGATGAACCAACGAACAAAATCGCCGAATTTGAGAGACAGGCCGCACTCAGTGGGAGACCAAACACAGTGATGGAATGAAGAAATCAAAGCCACGTGTGCGAATTACGCTAATTGGATTACAGCTGGTGGTGCCATTATGGGGGGGGGGTCTTAATTGTGATTGAGAATTGACGATTGATGATGATGACGGCATTTGATAATTATGCTGAGATGTGTACACGATTACCCAAGCCATCACCACGAAGGCGAAAACGTAACTTTGAGACCACCACTCTTGTGCACGAAGTCATTATTGGAAGCAAGCACATTATATTGAAGCCTATGACTCAACTTTACCGTAGGGATTTTTTGTTTTGCATGCGAGTGTGCACAGCACTCGTGGGGATCGGTAGTGGTTAGCACACCGCACTACGAACCTGGCCAACATCAGTGACGATTAACCGAACCGGTCCTGGGCCTCTCCCAGGTCGACTCAGCCTCAAATGAGTGGGTGCGACGTGTAAACTTCGCCACTGGAGAGACCACAATGGCCAGGCGTGTGTTCCGTGTCGGCCTTCATAGGCTGGGGCAGCACTTGGCCCAACATAGTTGGCACATCACTGTGTACTTGTATCCCGAGTGCACTAAAGCACAGTCTATAAAGCCAATTGAGAGATTTTTTTAGTTAAAAAAATTTTAGGACGGCGAACGTGACTTTTTTAAACTAGAGCTCTTGTTTAGCACACCGGCTTGTGAAAGCTTGTGTAATAATCAGCGCTCCTGTGCAGGCCACCCACAAGAGACGTGTTTTTAACTGGTAGGAACCTCCTGGTTTCACCAGCCCACAGGGGATTATTGTGTCCGTCCGTCGTGCAGGGAGGGGCTGGGTGGGGCTGGATGGGGAGGGGCTGGTCACACCGTGGTGCCCTTATCAAACTCAACGTTTAACCTACTCACGCCGGCTTGTGCCCGCCCTCACAGTCGGGCATATATGCGGAATACACCACGCCGCCGTTGACCCTGGCCATTGACCGAGCAACCCAACGTTCCTACCAGCTCCCTCCGCAGGAATGTGTTCAAAGCCACCCAACGGTTCTGAGCTGAGCACCCAGTGCCCGAACTGGGAGATGGAGGTGTGATGGTGTCTCGTCACCATTCGTCAATGAAAGACTTCCATGTTGCCTTCTCGGTGCTCTTCTCGATTTATAACAAAAATATATTTACAAACACACATTCAGATTGCAATTAAGAATAGCCGTTGTATGTTTTGAACGTGCCAGACGCGAACTCCGAATCACCGGCAGCGTTGACAAAATGCAAATAGTTTGGTGTTGTCATCGTCCTGCCCTCTTCTCTAATTGTAATTTGTAACTCACGGCTGCGTGTGGCGGCAAGGCCATTAAAGAGTTGTTTGGCGTGACGTGTCGGCCGCTGTGGCTTAAATGACATCTCCACCAGGCAGCTGCATTGGGGGGAACTGCCGTGGGGTGGTTGGATTGCAGCTTCTATTTTGTACAGCGTTGGCTGTTGCGGTTTCGGCTTAACCCTCTCCCGTTCCGAAGACGCCTGCAAGTCGCAGGGTCGGGTGCGGTGTTCCCGTTCACCGCTGAATCTCGGAACGCGCGAGCAGTTCGGCGTTAGATTTATTTAGAGAGGCGTAGTAGCGCCGTCGTTTCTATAAAAGACGTTGTACTCGCCGCGGAGAACCGTAGCGACACGACCGCCGCACTCTACGATAGCCGGCGCCAAACTGTGCCATGGCCGTGTGGGAGCCTCGCTGCCGATAAAGCGATCTTATTTCAGAAAAACTGACGAGGTACATGAATGTCATCGAATTTGGAGTGGGTTAATTAATCTGTCGGACAGCATGTGCGTTGTGCAAAAATGTTACCTGGAGAGTGAACAAAATTGCTAAAGTTGTTAATGATTTCCAGATATATATTTACAGATGCAATATGCCTTGCGGGGGTGGTGAAGTGGTGGTGCAATGGTTAGTGCACTGCGCTATGAACCCACCCATTCCACAACAGCAAATGAGATAAGAAAGCAAAAAGATTGTGGCAAAACATTTTTTAAGTCGTTATATTCACACGTAATATCTTGTAATTTGAAGCTTGTCAATGTGGAAACAGACAAATAACCAACCTGAATGTGTAAGCAGTGATCTTACATGCCAAGCACATTTGTTGGCATAAGTGCCCGATTAGTGTCCGGTTAGCGCGGTTGGCTGCGTATGGTGCAAAAGAAGTTCAACATGCGTACGTACGTATACTGTAGGAATGTATTTAATTGTCCGAATAATAAGCGTGAAACCAGCGAACACTTGTCGCGTGGGCCAGCAGGGCTATATTGCACCGGTGATTCTTAACAAGGGTTAGACTTTGTACACGGCAGCATCGTTTCCAAAACTTTCGTTTGAAAATCAACACTTTTTTGCTATTTTAATAACAGTGGCTGGCAATCGGGGCTGGTAGGCAGC